ATAATATCTTATTAATTTTAGTAAAATAATTGTAAACAGCGTTTTTTGGTAGCTTCGTCGCTTTCTAAACAGTATATAGATGATCAAGTAGCCAATTAGGATGTTATAACCTTTACTAAAGAAGGTGTTCAAGAGGGCTTTAGCCGAGTGACTATTTACTGCGCCTTCTCTTGCCAAGTTGGGAAACTGATTAAAAAATTGTCTAACTAAAAAGGTTTACAATGAAAATTTCCAATATTAATAATATTAAATAGAAATCTTTTTTTTCTTTTAATAAATATTAACATTAAAGAAGTTAGTCACTCCCGTAACGTGTATAAGTAGTAATAAAATATAAGTTATATTAGATCTTTTACGCTTACATGCTTTTTATAGAGAAGTTAGTATTTAGAGTAATTTAACGTGGCACTAAGAAACATGCAATAGAATAGACGGAGAGCACCATTACTATGGAGAACTCATTCCTCCAAAAATTTACTAGAATAAAGGGTAACCTGCAATCTTTGTTAGATGTTCTAAGTTTTAAGTATTCCAAAAGTTAAGATGTGCAAATTGGTAAAATTTTGACTCACGCTAAGTAGAATTGGTAAAAAATTTTACGGGTTGTAATATCCTAAATCTTTTTTTAATTAATGTAAAGTGAGAAGAAATATTTATTATTTTTAAAAATATATTGTATTAAAAGTAAATAGTGAATATTATAAGCAAAGTAAAGGATTATTAAATTGTATGAATATATTTAAGTATAGCAGAGGCTAATTTAACCTCCATAACATTTTTAGGCTTTTTAATGTACATAATTGAACTTTAGCGAACTTCATGCTGCTATCTAGTATAATGGTGCTCATAACTTTTACTCAAATATGTAGTTAAGAAATAAATTAGTTATACAGAATATTGTAAGTAAGAAATGCAGGAAGTTATCTGTTTATTAGTTAAGTGTGGATCTCCTTAAAAAATGCGCACAAAGAATTGTGTGGATGACGTCATGTTTATATTAACTAAGTGATTAAGTTGGCTATCATAACAAATTATGAAGGCCTCTCTTCAAACGTATTTAAAATAGTATATTACATTTCTTTAGTCATCGATATATTATAATGTAGCCTTACAATTTGCTTAAATTAATCATAATAATGGAGGCTTTTTAGCAATAATAAAAGAAATATTTATCATTTTTTTTTAAAAATACTTTTAAAAGAGAGAATGAGACGACATTTTGAAACTGTTGTAGGTTTGAAGAGCAGGAAAGTTAATAAAGCACTTTTTAAGCCTTGAAATTTAAACTTTGAGATATGTGGTATAATATGTAAATATGGAGATTTTAAAACATATTTTAAGCTTAAATTTAAAAAAAAAATTGGAAACTTAAATTTTCATAAGTTTAATTTGAAACAAGGTGTTGCCGATAAGCACTAATAAATATTGCATTTTTAAGAGTGTTAGGTGGTATTTGTTTTTCCTTCAAAGCGTTTAGCAGCCGCGTGATGGAATTTATTCAGTTTTAAATAAATACTCTCTGTTAACTCAACTTTTTTGACCATTAAATATTTACAACAAAAACGTGTATAGTTATTAATTCCAACACAAGTGGTTACAGTCATCTTACAACAAATATTTGTATAAAATATCAGAATACTCTATTTAAGAATGTTTAACTTTAGAATAATTCTTAAGCTAATGAAAGTCCACTTATATTAAAAAGATAGTTAATTTTTTTTAAATATTTTAAAGTGGTTATAGGTTTCTTAACTAAAAAAGAATTATTTTTTCTTAAAAAAAAGGTGACCTGACTAAAAATTTTTAACTGGCGTATTACTATAATAAAAAACAACGCGACTCACTACATACCGTTGTACTCTTTTACAACTTCTTTACTAAACCCGTGGTTAATTGTAATATAACAATCAGATGTTTATATCGCTTTCGATACTTAAATTTAAATTTTTTATCTAATCGAAAACACGAATAAGTTTTATAACCTATAGCACAACAATCTTCAGTGAACTATAGAATAACACCCATTCTCTATATTGATACAGTTAGTTAAAGTTATTAAATTAACTTTAAGCAAACAAAATTGTTGGTATTTTCAACAAAATAAAAATAAAATATAGCTAAAGTTTGTTATTTTTAGAGGTATTTAGAATAAATTATAGGACCTATGAGGAAAAAAGTTTTAATTATAAAGGTAACATGGTAATTACTATTTTTTTTTTTGAAATAAAAAAATTAGTTTTTTTAGGTTATATATTTCAACGTTTTACTCGTAAACCAAAAGTTTAAAGAGTCCTTGAATAAAAAAAGCTCCTCAAAATTAATTATAATTAGTTAAAGGCCTCTTAAAAAATTACATAGCATTAATTAGAGGTTACAGCATAAAATTATATATTCAACTATTAACAAACTTTGAGCAGAGTGTAATAATCACAACAAGTGGAAGCTCTTAAGAAAATAAGTTAGCCTTTTATTCACAATGCGCTACTTGCTAATGAACGGCCATCTCTAGCCTGTAACACTAAATGGATTTTTATTTGTTGAGGGAACGCCCTATCACAAAATTTCGGTAACACCTTCAGGTAGATTGTTCAGACCAAGTTTAGCTGGTTAGCCTTTTGTTTTCCTTTGCATGTTTAATATTGTTTTATTTTTGTTTATCTCTTTAGTTGGTATTTTTACCTTTTCAAAAATTTACTAAATTTTTAGCTATTCTAGGGAAATATTTTAAATAAAAATTTGTAATGCAAACGTGCTTTTTTTTTAAAGTTGCTAATTGAATTTTAAGTTTTTATAACCTAAGAATATATATACATAAATATAATTAGTAGTAACAGCATTATTTAATAAGTGTATTAATTTCATTATTTCATTAGACTTACATTAAAAAGTATTTAAAGTACACTGTCAAGTTAACAGATAAAATTCTATATTAAACGAAGTTAATTTTGTTATCCTTTTCTATAACAAAAGTTTTAAAAAAATGTTTCATGTAAAACTTTTTATTTAATTATTAATATTTAAAAAAACTTTGTCTGCACATATTTTATATAAATTTTTTTTGTTTTCTATTAATAGCCACTTGGCGAAACTGAATATGTTGTCAGTTTGATGGATTTACTCGCAATTTCGAGGAGGCTATTACATAAAAGTTAAATATATCATTAGACCTAGAAGTTAAGTTATTGAAGAAATCGGTTTTAAAAAAAATGGATTCGGTTTCACCCAGCAAGAAGGCTCTACATAATTCTCCTATTGGTACTTTTCAAAAATCTAATCTAATCCAAACGATAGAAACTGAGGATAAGCTAAATCTAGAAAAAGATAATAATAATATTAATGATCAAGAAATCAAAGCTTCCTCGCCTTCTTCTCTAGTGCCACCATCTTTAAAATCAAGTCTAAATGAAACTGAACATAAACCTTTGCTTCACTCCCTTGAAAATTCAACGGACGATCTGTCCAATAGCAGTGACGACCTGGTTTCCCACTCTTCTTCCAGAGCTGTAGAGTTCAATTTACCAGAACCCTTAATTTCGCGTGGCTGGGACGTCGCCACCGAGGTTACCTTCGTTAAGCCCCCCATGAATACAATTGACTTCGAGCCTTTAATACCGTTAAGTCTAAAGACTAGAAGTACATCATCAATTATGATGAATGCAGAAAGTTTATACAATACAATACGTGTTCCTGAGCCTTTTCAAGAAGAGATACAAAAAGAAGCTATTAGCAACAATGGCTTTTGGGGGCCTGACGTGCCTGGGACAAATGCAGAATTTAACGAAGATAAAAGTTTTTTTATAAAAGACGAATTTCCTGCCCCTAATAATCATATTTCCCATGATTACTGGGAGCCTCCACCTGCCCCTACTGTTAACGCGGAGAAGGCCTCCCTCTATTTAAACACAGTAAAGGCACGCTTTTCTAAATCGCCCGCATACTACTACTCCTTTCTCGATATAATGAAAGATTACGGGTCAAAGAGGTGGGTGTGTTAGCCTACAAATTAACTATTTCTCTGGGAACTTAAAATTGTTTTAATAGCATTAGCACTTTAGAGGTGGTCGCCAGAGTAACTGAACTTTTCGAGAGTCATCCGGACTTAATTGAAGAATTTCATTCTTTTTTACCCCCGAACCTTCAAAATATGTATAAAAATTATGCAGAGATTCCAGAATCTCCTTGTCTTTCGCCTTCACTCCCCGAAGAGCGTAACTTTTTTTTTCTAATCATATTGTTGCAGATTTACTATTCTATTCATAATTATTTTTTTAGAAGCCGAGAAAGCTAATGAAACTTTTTCTCCACATGAAAACTGCGTTGAAAAGCCTTTTTCGTCAGGCTACGTCTCTTTGTACACCACACCCTCGCCGGCCTCACCCTCGAAACTGCCCGAAAGCCCGAGCAATTCTGCCCATGGCCCAGCTTCTAACGGCGCTGAGGACATGACTACAGCTGCAGTTGCTCGCGTGGAGCCCGTCGACCCAGTAAAACAGGCCTTATATAATAATCCTCACGATGATGTTAGAAAGTTTGCAGCTTTTGAGGCGTCAGTGCACGAGGCCGCTCATCTCCATGGTAAACAACTCTGCTATTCTGTGATATTTTTTCTATATAACTATTACTGCGGAAGGAATATTTCTTAGTGGGGCCGCTACTCCTCGAAAGCCTGAAGTGTTTCATGCATTCAATTATGTTACAAAAATAAGAGTACTTTTTTTTTGTTTGGCACGGAAATTTGTTTTTGCCAATATTTATTTTTATTTCACAGGAGCGTTTTTCCAACCAAACGGAGACTTATAAGAAGTTTCTAGACGTTCTCACTACTTTTAAGCGGGAGAAAAAAACCATCGAAGAAGTATTTATAATATATTTTTTCTTTTACTTTTTCTTATTATTTTTAAATTTTCTTGAAGGTGTATCGTCAAGTATCTCTTTTGTTCCGCGATCATCCCGACCTTTTAGAGGAGTTTTCCCAGTTCTTACCAGAACGAGCAGGCGAACTATCGATCTACTCTGCTCATCCGTCTCCTCCGCCGCTGCCTCCACATCATCATCATTATTACCACCACCACCATCATCATCACTTTCATCCACGTGGGTTTCACCCACCCCAACCACGCGCTCATCCACTTTTTGTCAATCGTCCTTATCCATCGCACCACCACACCCCGTCCTCTAATACAACTCCCTCTGAGGTCTCCCGTGGGGCGCCCTACCACTCGCTCCCTTCCATTTCTCCTCCCGGGCATGCGGATCAGACGGATTCGCCACATGCGCGACTGCCTCTAAGAGCACCATCTTTTGACCAACCAGATGCCAGTCCGTCATCGGAGAGTCGACTCTGGCAGATGCACGAGGCCCGGTTTGTTCACGTGATCTTATATTGTATATATATTTTAACTATTTAATAAACTAAGCAGTAATCCTTTGCAGCGCGAGGAGACAGGAAAGCGCCGCTATTCTTCTGACTTTCATTTTCAATTAAAAGTTGTTATATCAAACTTTCACTAGCGTTTCCATATATAGACTATAATTTTACGACCCAGAGGGGCCGAACAGCAGAAGACCACGTGGATCTGGACAACTACCAATACGTTTTATTCTTTGACGATCTTAAAAAGTGCTGCCCTCATAAAGAAGTGAAGTCTATATACAATGCATCAACGTGCATATATAAAGGAAGCATATGACAGGCTTATTATAACTTTTTACGGCTTCTGAATCTCTACAACTCTCATTTGATTGGCCGTGAGGACCTCTTGGAAATTGCTGCGAAATTTATAACCACGAAGAACGAGAAAGGAGAGATTGATAGAACAACAAAGCTGTTATTATTATTATTGACATCATTATTATTGTTAATAATGTTATTATAAGATATGTGACTTTTAAGGAAATGCTGGGCTTTAGTTGTAAAGAAGAAGAAAATGACTTTCAAGCGCCTTCTTCAGACGCATTTCTTGTAGATGTGAAGAATTTTGACTTCTCCACGTGCAAGCGTTACGGTTTTTCTTATAGGCATAAACCAATTGTATTATTATTAATATCCTTTTTTTATTTTATTATTAGTATTATTATGTATTATTATTATCTTTAGTGTTATTATTATATTTACTTTTGTTATCGTTATTCATATTATTAGTATGATTTATAATTATTATTATCAGCGTTATAATAATCATTATATATCTACTTCTATTGTATTTATTTTATTCTTAGTGTTATTAATATTATGTATTATTAAATGTATAATATAATTTATATAATAATTTTATATTAATATTAGTGTCAGTATTATTATTTAAGATTATTATATTTAATATCAGTATTATTATTAATATTATAATTATAATTATATTATTATTATTATTGTTATTAATGATAATTATTTATTTTTAATAAAATTATTATTATTTATTATTATTAGTGGTAGTATTTTATTTAAAATTATTATTATATTTATATTATTATTAGCGTTATTATTACTATTATATATATTATTATTATCAGTATTATTATTTATATCATATTTATTATTAGTATTAGTGTTATTATTATTATTCTTTTTATTATTATCATTTATTGAATTGTTAACTTTATAATTTATACCTTTTATTTAATTAATTTTATATTATAAAAGCCCCCTTTTTATTGTAAATATCATTCGCTCTTATAGAGTTCATAACTATTTTTTATTATCAGGAACAATGTAATCAGAAATGCTCAGGAAAAACTAAACTTTCCGATGAAGTTCTAAACGATCGGCTCGTTTCTTTCTCTATACTCACGTCCGAGGAAAAAGTCGATTCGAAAAAAAATGTATATGAAGAGGCACTTTATAGAGTTGAAGATGAACGTTATGAGCTTGATATGGGTTTATTATTTTTTTTAAATAAAGTTTATTTTTATAATAAAAAATAAATAATAAAAAATAAGTGTATTTATTAGATAAATGAATATAGTATATAAATAATGATGGAATACTTACATCAATGGTTATATTAATTTTACATATTAATATATATATATATATGTATATATACTTTTACTTAATACTTATTATATATAAGTAATCGTAATAGTATATTTCTACAATTTTTTAAAAAAAATTAACAAATAGCATTTAAAAATACAAAATGGGTAATATTAAAAAGTATATTAAATATATAAAATGTATGTAGCACTAGAAGTAATAGTGTATCCCGTATATTATTAGTTATTTATATATTAAAATAAATAAAACGTCGACATACAATTATTTATATATAACTATATTGGCGTATATTGGCGTATATATTTATGTATAAGTAAAGATACATATGAAAGTGTATTCATATGAAGTATATAATAGTAAAGTTAATAAAAAATTATAATGGGGAGAAAATATAATATTACAAGTTCAAAGGTTTGTTAATATATATTTGAAGTAAATATTAAGTAAAAAATTTATAAATTTATTTTAAATTATAACAGAAAATAGAATATTATTTTATAAAAGTTTGTTAACAAAATTCAAAGTAAAAATTAAAAATATTTCATATTTATAAATTCGTATTAAAAATAAACAAATTTTTTTTAATATAAAAAAATTGTGGTAAATATTCTTTTACAAATATTAGTGAAACTATAATTATATTAAATAATAGAAATATTTTATATTTATAAATTCTTGTAAAGAAAATATAATTTTATAATAAGTTTATATATATTATATAATTAATGATAGAAGGAAAAATACTATCTTATAAAAAATTAATAAATATGAAGTAGTTGTTAAGTAAAAAATTTTATATTATCGCCCCAAAAAGATAAAATTATTTTTTTCTTATGCACATATATAAATACAAGACTATACTAGTAAATAAAATATTATATTTTTAAAGTTAATACTCTAAAAGAAAATAATATTTTATAATTATAAATTTGCATTATAAAGATAATACAATATTTTTTATTATAAGTACATATATACTATACATTAATAAGGAAATATAATAGTTTTTAAATAGAGATAAATTTTGAAAGAAATTAATGAAATATAAAAAGCAACTATTAAATGAATATAACGAAATATAATAAAAAATATATATTTTTTATAAGTAGAGGTTAATTTTTTTTTTAAGAAATTATTACACTAATATATTGATAAAAATATTATTTAAAATCTAAAAAATGTGTACATTTATTAAAAATTAATAGAAATCTATTAAAAAGGGAAAGCATACCAAAATATATTATGGAATAATTTATAAATATGAAAATACGTAGTTTACGAATAATAATAAATAGCATAACAATAATAATTGTTACATTAATATTAAATAAAAATAATATAAATAAACTGTTAAGAAAAATTATTTAAAATAAAAAAGTTTATAAATAAAATTTTATAAAAGTTTATTAATATGAAGGTTTAAGCACTTAAAAAAAATTCATTTTTGTTGCATGCCTGTTCTTAAAGTTTAATTGGTGATTGAGCTTAACAAATATTTTTTAAACCAACGAATTTTTTTTGTTATTAATGTATAGGAATTTTTTAAGCATTCACTTTAATGAAGATATTTGTATATATTAATAATATTAAAAAAATTTTAAGTATGGAAGTTAACTATTTTTCTGTTTAAATTAGATATTTAAGCAATATGTCAATTTTTTGAACTGTTTTATATACAAATTATTAGTGAAAAGATTATCATAAAATATATTTAAAAAACATTTGTACTAAATTTTATTAATATTTTTTTGTGTAGTGCTTGCTTCCAACTTAGACGCCATTCGCCATTTGGAATATCAATTTAAACGTCTGCAGGAATTTAGTGAAGAGGAACGTTACCTTCAAAAGTTGGATAGTAAACTTGGAGGTTTGTATACTTTTTTTTTTTAATAATTATTATATAACGGTAACTCATTAAATTTTTTTTTTACCATTATTTTTTGTTTAGATTAATAATTCACTTTTAATTTTGTAAATTAACTGCATCAATTTTAAAATATTTTCAGCGAAAATCCAAAAAAAAAATTTTAACTTATAAAATTTATTTTATTGTAATAAAATTGTTTATTATTATTATAATCGTTTTCTTAAAAATTTCCTGTTTTTTAAAAAATTTTTTATTTAATTTACTAAATTGGCGGAAAAAAGTTTTATAACTTTTATAATAAATAGAAAATTAATAAAAATTTTATTAATTACTTATTGTTATCATATATTGTAAATTTCATGTTTTGAGAAATTTAATTTTACTTTTTTTGTTAATTTATCTTAATTATAAACCGAAAACAGAAATAAAAAATATTAAATAAAAATTTATTAATTTTTACTATTAAATAAACATTAATTTATGGTTTGATAAATTTATTTATACTTTTTATTTTTTTTATATTTATTTTTATTATAAACTGAAAACCGTAAATAAAAAACTCACTGAACAAAGGTTTATTTATATTTATTATTATTATGAAATATCAAACATAAGGAATATTAGTGAGTTGAGAAATTTATTTTTACTTTTTTGATTATTAATTATATTCGTTTTTGTTATAACCTAAAAATATTGAAGTTATTTTTTTTGCCGTATTATATTTATTTTATATTTACTATTAATAATAATTATTCTCATATAAATTTTTTCGTCATTTTTTTGTACCTAAAAAGTGAAAAACTCGGTTTTGTATCGTTATTAGGCACTTCTGAAGTCCTCTGCCATGCGGCCATAGAGAGGATTTATGGCGAAAAAGCGCGTGAGGTTGTTGACGGGATCATGCGACACCCGACCTCTGTTCTTCCAATAGTATTGAAGCGTTTGAAGCAAAAAGTATAGATAATATTATTATTAATAGAAAAAGTTAGGTTTTAGAAAATATTGTTAAATTTTTTCTACTATATATATTTGTTAAAAAACAAATTTTTTTTTGTGTATAAATAAAAATATTAATACTAAATTCATAATTTTTAATATTATTTATATTATGAAAAGTATAATTAATTAATATTGCTGTCCTTATTCTAATATAATAACTATTCAGCTGTAATTTTTCAAAATTATTATCTTTTTTATAATATATTTTATTAATTTATTGTTATAAGTATTATTTCTAATAATAATATATATATATTTTAATGTTTCTTTAAAAAATAAAGTTTATGTAATATTTATATTTTTGTTGTAAATATTATTTTTTATATAATTTTTATTTTAGTAATTATTTAGTACTTTATTTATTTTTTGTTAATAAAATACTTATTATTATTTCAGTATTTTTTAATAATATTTTTTATTTATATTATGTTATAAATATTGTTTGTTTATAATAATTTTTGTACCCTTCTTATTTTTTATATATTTATTATACTTTTTATATATTTTTTAATATAGTATTTATTTTATTTATATTTTTTTGTCATAAAATAATATTATTTATAATAATTTTTTATTTTTAGTATTTAATTTTTTTTTATTAATATTAAAATATTTTTTATTTAGGTATTTGTTTTAATATTTTTATATATTAATATTTTTTAGATTAATTTTTATTCCAGTATAATAATATATTTAATTATTTATTATATAATATTACTAAATTATATATATATTTTTTTGTTACATTTATTATCATTATTAATTCTGTAGAAGAATTTAAGTTTTTATTATTATTATATTTTTATTTTTATACAAAATATTATACCTTTTTCATATATATTTTTTATTATTAAAACATTTTTTAATTCATATTGTGATTTTTAACTACTTTATAAATACTTATTAGTTTCTTTAAAAGTTAATATGAAAAAAGTTTTTTTTAATATTATGAAAATACATTATGTATACATAACATTTTCTTATTAACTTTCATATATAATAATATAAACCTTTAAAAAGAAAGTATTCTTTTTTTTTTAAGAATCAATTATACAACTGAATTTTGTTTTGTTATATTATAATAAAATTAAGAGTTATTAACACATTATACTATTAACTATTTTTTATTTTTATTATATCTATCATATGAAACTTTATAATTGTTTTTTCATATTTGAATTTATTTAGTTTTTTTTTTTCCAGTTTATAATAATTTTTTTCTCGTTTTCTAAAGTTTTTAAAATGTTTTTATTTTTTTTTAATAATATTTATTTATCTAATTTTAATAATTATTATAAGTAGTCTATTATATATCACAAAAAAAAAGTTATAACTTAATATATTATATAATTTGTTTCGTCCGTTATATTGTGCTATTCTATTAAGGATGATGATTGGAGAAAGGCAAAACGTGATTGGGATAAAATTTGGCGGGAACTTACTGAGAAAAATTTTGCTCGCTCTCTCGACTACCAATCGCCTTCGTTTAAAGCCAACGACAAGAAAGCCATTGCAGTGGTTTAGCTTGATCTAAATATTTATTGTAGACTTTGATCTGATTGGTTTATTATGTTTTAGAAAACGTTATTGGCCGAGATTGAAACTATTAATAGTGAGAGCGATAAAAAACCGCATTATGAACTTGTATTTGAAGATGAAGATGTTCTTAAAGATTGCATAGAACTTTTGCTTTTTTATATAAATAAGTATTATTATTGTATTATATATAAATATATCATACTGATCCGTTACTTTTATATTATTATTATAAAATAGTTTAAAAATATAAGAAAGTTATTTTTATTTTCACTCATCAAACAGTTTAACTGTATTGATAATAATATTACTATTTCTATTATTTTATTTATATAATATTGCTGCAATACATTTATTCATCATTATTTATAAAAAACATAAAAAAAATATTTTTTGTAACATTTTAAATTGTTATAAAAAAATTTCTAAATAATTTTACTGCTTTAATAATAATTATATTAAAGAGAAATGCTTGTTAACTTTTTAACAATAATAAAAGTTTCACTTCGTCTTAAATTTATTATATTTTTTTATATAATTAAAATTATATTTTTTATTTTTTATTATTATTATATAACTTTTTTTATGCATAAATTTTTTTTATTATATTCTGAAAAAGTAGTATATCCTTTTATATTATTTTGAAACTTTTTATAATTCTTTATGATACTTTATATAAACTTAAGCGAATTTTAAATTTTCTTATATCTATATTTTTAAAAATTTACTTTTTTTAATAAAATAATATTAACTTATTTTTAATTATTTATATATAAATATTTTATTTTACTATTAATTGAGAAAATTTTACGTTTTCATATTTATGAAGTTACTATAAAATCTAGTTTGAGATTTAATTAAAACTAAATAAAATTTATTAACTTTTCTCAACTTTTTTATATTATAATAATTACTTTTTATTTGGTTTTTGTATATAATAATTCTAATAAAAAAGGTAATATACTTATTTTATATTTAAAATTTGAGTATAATAGTTTTTCTTTAATGGTTTTTTTGAAACTTTAGAAAAAATCTAAACTTTTTAGTTATATTATAATATAATAATTTTTTTTCCATCTACAAGTGAAATTTTCTTAACTTTTTAATATTTTTTTTTATAATTATATAAAAATATTTTACTTTTAATAAAGTTTATGTTTATTAAAAAACTTATATTCGATAATTATGTAAAACTTATAATTTTTTTGTTTTTATTTATATATTTAACTTTTTTAAAGTACATTTTTATTTATAAATTTTTTTGATGTTTTCTTTATAATACTTTAAAAAAATTTTAAATTTATTTATTTATTTATATATAAATAACTACTTTTTTTTTTACTTTTAACAAGTTCATTTAATATTTAAATTAATTCCTTCTAATATTTTTATATATAAAAAGTTTTATAAAATAATAATTTTTAAATAAATTTAATAATTTCAAATATATATAAATATTTAGATGTAATAATAATTAGTGTTTTTAAAATGAAATAGCTTTTTTCTTAATATTATTTTTTGTTAAGAGCTTATCAATATTTACTTATAATAGTTTTCTATAAAAAAACTTTTAAAGTTTTATTACTAATAATAGTTTTCATTATCTTTTGTATATTATTATTATTAGTTTTATATAAAGTACTTAAAATATTTTTAAATTATTAAATTTTTTTCGTAATAGTTTATAACTTTTACTAAATTATTTGATAAATAACCAATTTTTTTTAATTATTTTTTTTATTAATAATTATTTAAGAAATGGAAGCGACGCGGAAAAAAAAAAGGCGTCTTTTTTTTTAAGAAAAAAATTTCCACATCTTATTGGGTGTTCCCATCTCCGCATTGAAACCGAAGCCGAACCCGAAGATCCCATTATAAAAAAAGAACCAATTAACGATAGGAACGAAAAGAACGGCAGTGTCATTGGCGCTTCATCTGACCTCGGTACCGAGCTTCAAAAGGACCCGTTAGATCATTCTTTGGAGCTTAAAAAGTTTCTATTATTGCATGTTTTAGAAATTATTTTACTTTATTATAAATTTAAAGTTTTCATTAGTTATTATTATTATTTTTTTATATGAAATTCATAATCCTTCATTAATATATTTTTTTATTTACATATTAATATGGTAAAAAAATACAATTAATAGCATAAATTGCTTTTAGTATTTATAATATTTTTATTATTTAAAGTTTTTTTAATATTAATATATTTTAACCCTTTTTTACTTTTTTTCGTAAGTTTTTATTAGTTATTATTGTAATAAAATTTTTTATTCCCACCATTCATTATATATTTTTATTATATTCTAAAATTTTAATAAACAATAAAACATAATAGAGTAAATTGCCATTAATATATATAAAGTTATATATTTTTTAAAATTTTTTTTAAATATTCACATATTAAAAGCTTATTTTTAAATATATAGAAAATCCTTCTTTTTACATATTTCTAAAGTTTTCTTAAAAATAATAAATAATAAAATAAATTACTGCTAGTATATGAAAATTTTATTTTTATTAAAATTTTTTTTTAAATACCTATATATTGAAAGCTTATTTTCTTATATATTATCATTAATATATGATATATTTTTACTTTTCTTTGTTTATATTGCTTTCCTTATTAAAGTTTATTATTCCCATTATATTAAATATTCTTTTTATATATATAAAAATCTTTTTCAAAATAATGAATAATAATGAAATTACTATTAATATATAATATTATATTTCTTTATAAGTTTTTATTTATATATATTATTACTAAAAGCAAAGCTTCTTTGTTTAATGATGAAACGGATTTAATAGGAGTAAGAAAAGGTAACTTTTTATTAACTTTCATTCGAGTTTTTATATATATTATTTGGTCTATTTGGCTAACGAAAAGAATTTTTTCTAATATCATTATATATATATATATGAAGTTTTTAATTTTTTTGTATTTTTATTAATAGGGCTATAGTTTATATGTATATTTATATATATATATATATATAGTTATATAAAGAAGTATTAGTTTTTCTTTATTTTATATTTTTTTTATCAATAAAAAGTTTAAAGTTTATATATATATTTTTGTATATTTTATCCTTTATATATAAAGTTTGGAGTTTGTTTCTGTTTTGTTATTTTTTTTTTTATGATAGTAAGTTTAAGATTTGTATAAATTTTTTAATATATATAATGATATGAAAAAAGTTTTTTATAGTATTTTTATATAAAAAATGTATTGATTTCATTGTATATTTGTATAATAATATTAATTTTATATATATTTGTAGTATTTGTTGCTTCAAATTAATGTTTACATATTATTTATTATAAAACTTTATCTTCATTACAATTTTCCTATACTTTTATATTATTAAAATGGTTTTTAATATTGTTATTATGTTTGTAAAAGTTTGTATTTTTTAATGAGCTTCTTGTAGGGAACAGTTTGAGAACTCTTAAGTTTTGTTATTATTAGTTAGTCTTTTTAGTATTATGATAGTAATAATTATAATAATGAAAGCATTTAAGGTAATAAAAATAATATATATTTGTAATATTAGAATTTATTATTTTTTAAACGGCAATAAAATTAGTGAGTGAAGAAAATAAGGGACTTTTCTTAAGCTATCAGCGTTTATATATCGATAATATAAATATGTTTTTCATGTATATTGTTTAGTTTTATATTTGTTATACAGTAATAATAGAAAGTAAAGAGGTGTTATATATAATAATGAAAATATTGACCGGAATTAGGAAGATACTAACAAATTAATTTTAATTATGATAATTTAGAGGAATATAATTTTATATAAAAGTATATTATGATAATTACTATCAAAAAGTATACAAGAACCTTAACGAAAAATACAATAATATATAAAAAATTGTATAGAAAAATATATATGTATTTTTTAAATTATTTAAAACTATATTAATATTTTTTCTATATATAAAAATTACAAGGATATTAACGAAAAATATAATAACCCATAGAATAGTATATATTTTTTTAAGGATCAATAAAGACTAGGATCACTTTATGAGTAGCTTTTACTTTTTATATTATTTTAAGAAAGTTGTGTAAAGTTTTTGTTGTGGGGGGGGGTATATATTTTATGAAAAAGTTTAAGCATGTTAAAAGTTTTTATTTCTATTTTATATGTAGTAAAAGATACTACGGCGGATCTCATATTTAAGCCTTTAAATAGTTTGACTACTCTTAACTATAATAATAGTGATGATGATAATAATAGAAATTGTTGTAATAATAGCGACAATGATAGTAATAATAATAATGAATCGGAGTTCACGCTTTATTGCAATACGCCTTGGTATGCTTTCTTCAGGCTTTTTCAGGTTCTTATTACTATAAATCTTATAATATGAATATTTTATTCAAATAACTATTATTATTATGCTATTTTTATAAGTAACACTGAAAAAATTTTATAACTTTTACAACTTTAACCACTTCTAATATAAAATCTTTTATAACAATAAATAATAGTTTATTAATAATTATATATAGTTTTCTTAAGTTAAAGTTAAAGTTACTATTATCTCTACTACTAATAATTGTTTATTTTTAATAATTTATTATTAGGGTTATGACTATTATTGTGGTTGTTCTTATTATCGTTATCATTCTTTGATAATCATTTTTATTTATTTATTTTTTAATTATACTTTTTATTAAAAATATTCTTTTTTTTGTAATAATGTTATTTATTTATTTTTTATAACTTTTGCTCATTTTGAACCCTTTTTATTACTTAATTATTATTATTATTATTATGAAATTTTTTAAAAGCTTTAAGTAACTTTTCTTTGCTAAGAAACTTTACGAACGAATGAAAAAGCTCAAAAGTTATAGTTCCACGTGTATACCACGTGCTTCTTTTTCTAAAAAATCCAAAGAAGTGGCCGTTAAGCTAAACTATAAGCCTTCAGGTTTTCTAAAAAATAATTATTTTATGAAAAATAATATAAAATAGTTTTTAATAAACTTTTTTATCATAAAAAAATAGTTCAGTTTTTTTCTTTATAAAATGTAAAAATAGTTAAATAGTTTTGATAATTTTTTTTATCATAACAAAAAATGAACTGTTTTTTTTTTATATATTTATAAAATATATTTTAGTGACTCCTAAAGAAGAGCATTATTATATAAACTTTTTAAGTTATGCTCACAATTTTCTCGATACCACGATGGACGCTGCCGCATTTGAGGATGCTGTTCGCGAACTTTACGGCATTCACGCTTATATAATATTTACTATAGACAAAGTAGTTCACGCCTGCTGGAAACAGGTAGAAATAATATTATTTGCCGATATTTAATAATATTGAATAAAAGTGAATATTATTTTCTTATAAAAGAAAAACTATAATAAAAGCAATTATTAATAAGATATACAACAAAAGAAATAATATTATAATAATGAAAAGAATATTTTGAAGAAAAGTAAATATTATTAATGTTAGTAATATTATAAATATTTAATATAATAATAATATTGAATAAAATATCGAAGTAAAGTTAATCTTTTTTATAATAAATAGTATAATAATGACAAATATATATAATATGAAAGATTTTAAAGTATATAGTAATATAAGAAATAAATATACAATATATAGAATAAATGTATTTATTAATAATTTTAATTATAAAATAATAATGAATAGAACTATTAATAATATAATTAAATATTTTTAATATATATAATAATATTTATAATAAAATATAAAATAACATTGAATAAAAGTAAATATTAACATTTATATAAAAGAAGTAAATATAATAGTAATAAGGTAATATTTATAATACTATAAAAAAATATAAACATTATATATAGTGAAAAAAATTAATATAATACTAAATAAAAGTAAATATTATTAATATATATAATTATATATAAAATAAAGAGTAAAAATCTTAAATAAAAGTTAATATTATAAATATAAAAATTAATAAATAAAGTGTTATGAAGAATAATAATGCATATAGTGAATGTTGACAATATGTAATAACATACAAAATGAAATAATATTTAATACTCAATGAAATCAATATTATAAATATATATAAAAGAAATAGATATAATAAATAAATAAATATTAGTGATACTATATAATTAAAATAGTTATTTTTAATATATATAATATTAAAGAAAGGGGAGTATAAAATAATATTAAAAAAAGTAAATATAATTCCATATATTTGAAAGTAATAGAATCAAATATAAATAATAATAAATAAAATAAAAGTAAATGACATTAATATTTATGATAAAATTAATAAAAGTAGCTATTAATAATATTTTTAGTAATAACAAGTATTATAATAACAATAAATAATTGTAACGATTAATATATATAGTAGTAACAAAAATAAATATTTTAATGAGGAAAAAAGTAAATACTTTAAGTAATATCTAATTAAAAATATATTTATAGAAAATAAATTATATATTAATAATTTATTATATAACTTTTAAATAGAAGTGGATATTAATATGTATAATAAAGGGGTTAAATTTGAAATATATAATAATAATAAATAAAAGTATATGTTATGAATATATATAATAGTAAATAATATTTTTACTGTATATAATACAAGTAAAAAGTATAATAATAATAATAAAATATTGAGTAAAATGGTAAATCAATGTAAAGTTATTATGAATATTAATATTTATAATTTTTTTGGATCTTATAGTATATAATAATAAAAAAATATGATAAAGAAATATTGAAGAGTAAAAAATATTTATAATTTATGTAATAGTAATAAAAATATGTAATAATAATAAATAGTATATATTATACAATAATATACAAGTTTTTATTATGTGGTACTAAAAGAAATAAATAACAAATATTTTAACATTGAAGATAATATTTATGTGTATAATAAATATAGTAAAAAATTTAATAATAATAAATAATAGTAAATATTAATGAATAAATGATAAATGAAATTGATATATAATAACAAGAAAAAAAAAGTATGACGATTCTTTTTTATTAGTACGATTTTGTTATTAGTTTTAAAGTTTATGTCATTATTATATTAATAGACCTTTTAAATAAAAAATGAGTTTTTCATACTGAACAAATAAGAAATGACTTTGAAATTACTTTCTAAATAATATATTTTATTAAATTAGTATAATAATAACATAAAAATAATACTAATAAATAATTATAATCGCTTAAATTAAAAGAAATAATTCTTAATGGTCTGCAATTTTTACAGTATAAAACTTTTGTATTTATCATTATTTCTTTATTTCTATTATTATTACTATTTACTAAAAAAAATAAAACTTTTATATTTACAGCTTTTATTGATTATTATTGATGAAACTTCTAAAAAACTACAACTTCTTTACGATTATGAGCAACTTCGAGGTGGCGATTATTATTATTATTACCACTATCATTATATCGTTATTACATCTATTATTTGTATAATTATATTTATTATTATTAATTATCATAATCATTAACATATTATATTTATTGCTATTATATTCGTTATTATCATTGTTATCATATATATAATAATAATTTATCTATTAACATTATTATACAATATATTTATATATAATTATAACTACTAATATTACTATCGTTATTATTATCATTGTTACTACCATTATTGTTATCCTTATTATCATTTGATAATAACATTATTATTAATATTATTGACACTATCAATATTTTTATGTATTACTATTATTATTAATTATCATATATATTATTAGTTTTATTAATATTATTATTATTAGTACTATTATTACATATCAATATTATTATTATCATTAATTATTATTATATAATAGAGTCTGACCTTTCTTTATACCGCCAAAAGGCCTTACTACTTTTAGAAGAAGAAAACTGCTTCGAACTAACTTTTGTCGTTTTTTAATGAATATTATTTATTTTTTTTTGTGATTTTTTTTTGTGCTATAAACTTATACACACAAAAGTTTTTTATTTTGTTTTATTATTAAAACAAAAAAATATTATTTTTTATAGATATAATAATTATTTATTTTTTAACTTTAAATAATATTTAATCATTTTAACTATTATCTTAAAAGCTTTATTATTATTTATATTTTTCACTTTTAATTATATTAAAATATACTTGAATATCTTTTATTATCTTTTTTATTCTTTTTAAATAACTGTTTTATTATACACTTTTTATTACATATTTATTTAATTTAGTAATACTTAATAACTTTTTCAAAATACGTTTTTATTATTTATTCTTATAATTATAAAATATTAAATTGTTTTATTTAAATTTTTTTATTATTAATATATTATTTTACATATAAATTTTTAACGAAAACGATTTATATCCTTTTAGTTTCAATAATATCGAAATACTAAATAAATTTTCTTATTATTACTTATTACCCTACTATTGAAGTTTT